GTTTTCCCATATTCCTTAGATGTTTATGTATTGTTTCATGAGAGACCTGCAATTTCATGGCCATTTTACGAGTGTATTGCTTATGGTTAGACTCAACAAGCATCTTTAGAACATCAATATCAATTTCATCATGTCGGCCCCTACCATCACAGTTTTTAAGGCTAAAGTCACCTGAACAAAATTTTCTGCACCATTGTTGACACTTATGAACGTTCAAGACATTTCCATAAACTTCTTTGATATTCTTTGTGGCTACAGAGGTGTTGTTTTCCTTCCTGAATTCAAACAGCATTACATGCCCAATGTGTGTCTTGTCATGTGCCATCACTATAAGGGATTAGATTATACTAAACTTTACACATTATATAGGCTACACTAACGTGACGTTCAAGCAGTTCGTTTGACTATTATACGTGATGTACGTTTATTGGGGGAGGTGGTAATGAAAGTGTTCCAAAATGCGACAATTTCTTGACAACCTAATACAATGGGTTGGCCTGAATGTCTATATTTTAGGGAAAAAATAGAAAGTGGGAGTTCCAGGTTTATTTAAAATGAGATTCTTGGCTGTAGTGAGTAATTCATCAGCACTGATCATATCTTCAATTGTAGATGTTACTATGTTGTTGAAGTCAGAATTTGGGTTGTCTTTAAGAAGGGTGTAGAAAGTAGTTGTTTTCTCAAAGCTTCAGTTATATATAAATCCTTAAGCCAAACTACTATGGCTCCACCTCTGTCCACTGGTTTTATAACAATGGCATTTCTCTGTTTCAAACTATTTAAAACTAATTGTTTGTCATGAGAGATATTTTTAGATTTAGTTTTCAATAATTCTAATTCATCAATTTCATTCCTACACTTATGAATAAAGTAATCAAGTGCAATGAACTCACCAGATGGTGGTATGCATGAAGAATGTTTTGAAAAAAATTCAGAGAAGGGATCACAGAGAGGGGTACTGTATTTTTTGGAATATAAGATGCACCGGTGTATAAGACACACCCTTATTTTGAAGACAAAGTTTTTGGGGGAAAAAAAGCTAGAGTCGCATTTGAAAGATTTTTATTGAACAAAAATTCAATTTGATACTTTAAAAATTAGTATATATTGTTCTGATATACACAAGCCATGTGTAAATATATTTAAATAGGCATGCATAGTTTAGTTCAATTGAATGTGTTATTTATAACAATAGTAGTTTTTTTATTTTAAAACATAACTATTTATAATGCTCCCTAAATAATAATAATAAAATAAATTACAGTGAAAGCAATGAAGATTTTGTAGGTTTTGAACCAAACTAAATAACAGTAAACCTTTTTTTAATTTACGGTATTTTCTTATTTTGATGTTTTGAACTCTTTTGTGTTCGGTATATATACATATATATTATTCATACCTTCAGTGTAGAGGACGCAAGCAGATTTTGACATCAAATTTTGGGGTAAAAAAAAGTGTGTCTTATACACCAAAAAATACGGTATATGCCGATTCAATTGATGGGCATTATACCTGGTTAATAGCCTCTCACTTAATGTTGATTTTTCTCACATTTAATGGCTATTTATTAAATTTTGCCAAACACATAATACAATATTTCCGTTTTGCACCTACACAGCATATGAATTTTTCTAAAGTTCTAATTTTGAGCATGCTGTAGCTAGTCCACTCAAGGAGCTTATCTACTATTCCATCTCATAGTTATGTATCCTACTTTACATTGTATATGTAGGATTTCTTTGTGCATGTAACATGGAGCACAGATAATTCTAAGTTCTCACTATCATATTTGCAAATGGTCAAAAAGCATGTGGACCAGTAGAGAAGTTTTGGTACTTTCAAGGAGATTAGTTCCTGCTTTTTAAAGGTCATTATGCATTGTAAAGTGATGGCTGTTTGTGTAAATTTTTGTACATGCCAACAGTTTTGCCTTGTCATACTATAATTTCAAGTTTTAGTTTTCCCTTAATTCATTTTACCAACCAGAAGACAAAATAATTATACAACATGAAACAAATAATATTTAGTTGTCTTCCTTAATCTGTTTCTTCTCTTCACCACTTGTTCTCATATAAATATTCCATTCATTCAAATCTTTAAACCTATTGTTATTACATGGATAGTTTATCTTTGTGCCATTATTTCTCTAATCCAGTAATATCATAGGAGTAAAGCCCATATGTTGTGTTATCCTTGGAACAGCTCAAGTCCGATTAATGTAATTATTTGTACTTATTCACATGGGACACATCAATATTCTTCCTTGAAAAAAACATTTATAAACATATCTTTGATGCTACATCTAAAAATGAATTTTAAGTATTTAAAAAGCTCTATATAAGAAATTTTTAATTGTCTGTAAAATGCAAATATTAATGCTCTCTCTGTTTCAAGTGGAAGAAAAATTTTAGTGCTTACATAAAAAGTTTGTAAGATCAGTCTTTTATATTTATGAAAATTCTAAATAATTAGTGATATTACAAAGTAACATACATAAAGAAATATCTATTTTTACATCTTATCAGAATCTTATAGTTCCCAATCTTATATATTACTTAAATGTTTCTAAATAACCTTCTATAAGTCTACCAAACTGCCCTCTTTACAAGTTTTTCAATAATCATAACATACGTGTAAATATCTGATTTCTTTATATATAAATAAATAACTTTAAACAAGCCAATTTATAAAATAAAGAATAAAATTATAATTAAGATCTCTAGTTAAACAATCTTCAACGAATGATATACATTAATGTATAGAATTGCTAATGTAGACTTGTGAAAAAAAGCTATAATAAGTACCACAAATACAATGTGTAGACCAAACAAACTGAAGCACTGAACTGTAACACATATCAAATTAACTTGACTGTTTAGAATCTGTGTCAAAAAACTATGCTCAAAAGTATATACTAAAATCAAAAAGATACTTATATTTTCACTTGTCATTTGTAGTACTTACTCCTTGCACATTTATTATTTCATGGTTCATAGAGACTTTAGAAAAGGACATTACCAGGAGTCATACTCAATAGTTTCAGAACCTGAACCCTGTCACATTGCTTTTTTTTTTCATTAAATGTGCCTAACAGCAGAAACTAACAGTTTTAGGTCTTGCAAGACACAAGATTCTCAACAGTCAACAGGAAATACAAGCAAATCTGATTCTGATAACTTTTGTTTAATCATTTTTTTTAATTAAGCCGGTTACTTCATGAGAAATTGTATTGAAATTTCAGGACTTTTCCAAGTCCATGACTTAAAATCAGATGTTTTCCTAAGATTTCCAATGCTAGAATTATTAGAGCTCAGTTGCTATGACTTTATCAGATTTCAAGAACCAGTGTGAATCCTGTTACTTATAGTTCAGCTGACAAATTTAACTACTGCCTTTTAAAAATAGTTTTCATGCATGTTATGTTCATGTGACACCCACCTTTTACTATGTATAGTGCACTAGCAACTGATATTTTTAAAAAAGTTTCAATAGGTGACTTAATATTACTATATATGGCCCTGTATACTTTGGTATCAGTGTGGTTAAATCACTCAATAAACCATCAAGAATATGTGACGCTTGTAGTACTAAGTGTAATTTCAAAATTGAATTGTCAATCTCATATATCAGAAATCAAAAATTGAGGTATCAGAATTCTTTAAACATAAGTGTAAATTACAGTTTTTATTATTTGAGCAAGTACTCAAACATTTTACCTGTAATAAAAATGTAAGATACTATTAACAAGCATTTTGATGGATTTCCAAATACTTAAGGTAGGTATTCTAACAGTAAATGATTACATAAAATTAACAGAAAACAATTGAGAAACTATACTCACTCTGCCAATGCGAGCTCGATACCATGTTTTATCTTCCTGAAACAATGCAGCACACAGATCTCCTTTGGCAGGACTGAAGTTTTTATAATCTAAAGTTTTGTCATATGTGCATGTTTCTTGTAGTTTTTCAGTCAGTGATATAAGAGATTGTTGTTCCTCACACTTCTGCACCCAAAACTCACTAGGCCCAAATCCATTACAGATTATTACCTGAAATAGTAAACTTAAGTATAAAGCAACCAAATACATTTATAAAAACAAGCCAGGTTGGAAGATTAATATGTTTTCATAACTCAAGTGAATAATATGCAAGAAAAATAATTAAAACACAAAACTGAAAAGTAGAGATGAAAAAAAAACATCTTGAGGTGGGATACACCTATTTCATGAGGTGAAATACGTATGGGTGTAAGTTAGTATAAATTGGGAGGTTCACTGCCTTTTGTATTATTTGAAATAGTCATCAACATAGGTAACTAAGAACTGTGGGATACTGCACTACCACACAGGTCTGACTTGAAAGTATGGTTTTTTTTTTGCTTTATTATGTCTGGGAGTTTTGGAAGCCCCAGCTCTAGAAGCCACTTGTAGTCTCAAAGTACAACAGAGATCAACCAGTAAATAAATGACAAAAAAACTGATGTATCTGTTCATTTGTGTTGCTTTTCTGTACTGTTCCTGTTCACTTTAGAAACAAAGCAATAAATATAGAAATTAAAACAACTTGCTAGATTATTTGGATACTTTAAAAGTAGAATGCCAGTGTGATTCTGTGACAATCCAAATTTTATCAACTTAACATTCGGCTAAGATTCAATGAGAAATTAAATCTGTAATTTCCTAGACTTTAAGAAAATTAGCATATTGGTCAATTTGCAAGTTAATAATTCTGAAAACAACTGTGTTACATATAATGACTAACATCTTTATTTTAATTTACATAATCAAATTAAAATAAAAAGGTTACTATAAGTAACACAGATTTATGCCTCATGTTATTACAAACTCACACAATACAAGAAAACCAAATATCCAAGTATAAAGCCAAAAGTTATTTTTAATAAGAACAAGCCTAGTAATTCTGTGGTGTTTTTGTGCTACCAAAATATCTTAAATAACTATGCTTCAAAACTTGGTTGTGAAATTTCCAAAATTTTGTTTTGAAACACTATTTAAAAAAAAAAAACTTCCTTTTATTATTGATCAGAAAGTTTCATTTTAAATATCCATTCAGTTTCAACATATTTGATGCTCAATATTTATTTTGGCTTTTTATTTTGCAGATTTAAGCAATCAAACTACTTGGTTACAAATTATGAAAAACATGACAAAAATCTATAGGAATTCACCTTCCAAAATTGTATTACCGTTACCTTTGGACAACTAGGCAACAAAATTTTTGCCAAGAATATATGTGTTCAGTCCAGATCAATTTATATCTTATATAGCTTGTCTTCAACAAAAGAATAATTTCTTGTAATAACTTGTGTTGTTTTAATGTTAAATTTAACAATAATATTCAATAAAAGAAAGTCTCTACCATCCTACCCAAAAAACTTAACTGATGTATTGTCATACAATAAAATTCCTATAGTTTTCAAATAGGTATAATGTAAAAAGAAAGCTTTCAGGAATGACATGAAATTACACTAAAACAACACCATTTCTTTTATATTGATACAGATAAACTACAACTTCTTCTAGTTAGCTGTTTTTAGCTATTGGCTCTAATTATTTTAAAGGCTAAGCTTCATTAGTAATTGTTCAGACCGTAAGTGCGACATCTTAAAACAGTACAAACAAAAGGCCATTGTAATGAAATTACTAACAAGCTCATGAAAAACAAGACAATTATTATACTTTCAAGGATTAGTAGTTTCTAGCAAATATAAACCTATACCTGTAGATGAAAATAAAAAAATTATGTCATTTACAGGCAAGACTCCTATATAGTGAAAAATGTCAATTCAAAATTATTTTTGAGAAAAAGTTGTTGAAATAGCCAAAATTAAATTTTTTACTTAAATTTTGATATGCAGAGAACACTCTCTACACCTGAAAGGTGCACACTAGAACTGATAAATGTGTGTATATATATATGGGTGTGCCTTAGTACTACTGTTAAATCAATTTTAGGACGTGTATGTGCATTTTTCAACATTTCTACAACAACTGAATTCCTTGTAAAAATATTAATCATTTGACAGTCAGCATTTGCTGGCTTGGGACACTTAACACTATACCAGTCTTTCACAGCTTTCATTCCACATAGAATCTTTGTCACCATAAACAATGATGATATTAAACCACCAGACCAGTGGAATGTTGATTTGATGCAACCATTGCATGGTTGTTTTATTATATATATATATATATTGGTTTATACAGCTCAACAAAAAAATGACTTCATTACATGTTTAGGTCATAAGCCTATAGCTTCTTGAAAAAAATCAAATAATAAAGCATTACGTTGTTTACTCTCTTTGATATGAAATAAAAATAATTACAAAATAATTTATTTTTGTTTTTCATCAAACTATGCTTTGGGTGTACACCTTCATCAGGGGAATGGGACTGTTTGGTGGAATATGAATTTTTAATGGCTTCTCATGTGTTAGAATAAATATTAAACTGTCAATAAATATACAAAACTAAATAAAAATTATTCAATCAAAACAAAGATAGAAATGAAAATGGAAAAAAACTGTAATGATGAATCAAACTACAACATCAATGAACATCTGACATTTGTGAGGCAGAAATAAACATTTAATATTTGAATACTTCTATCTTCAGCAAGCCATAAATAAGGTAAAATATAAGATACAAAGATCCCTAAATTCACAAAGTTCCATTGTTTTAAAAAGATCAATTAAAATACAAAGTAAGACAATAAAAAATTAAGTTTTTTTTACATAAAAGTATCAAGCAGAACAAGAAAACTACTCTAATTACTGTTACAGCTTTAAACCTGTAACAACATACAGTTGCTATAACTTAATATCAATTTAGTTATTCGAATAAGAATTTCTTTATCATAAAGGTGTATTTGCATTACACATAGAAATATCAAAATAGAAAAATTATAAATGTTTTTTGCACAGCATTCTAAGTTTCAATTTCATCACACCATCAAATGTATTTTTTAACATCAATAAAAATAATCTCTGATAATTTTATGATATTTCAACCACTTCTTTTGAATTATGAGAATCAAAAACTGTAATGCTTCTCTTTTTTGATGAACCATTTTTACAGCAAACTAAAATAGATTAAAATGGAGGTGGGTGCTTTGGTGTAGGGGTGAACAAGGATGGGAAACTGAAAAGTAATTTGTTGGGGCCTGAAAGTGTTTTGGTGTAGCCTTTCACAACACTAATGTTATACATCTATCATCAAAGAAACATATATTTGAACCTCTTGGAATATATTTCCAATGCAACTGATTGTTGCTGATCAGTTCTGATTAAAAATGTTGAAATCAACATAGTTATCTAACCACAGCCTCATTTCTAAGCAGAAAGCTATAAAACTCTAAGACACACAATCTGCTAAGACTTCTACATAAAATCAGGTTAGACCATTAGTTACTACAATAATAGCTTGAAATCCATTTGGCATAGAACTAAAAGATACCAAAATGCCTTGATCATTTCCTGCACAAGTAGAATCAATTACCATCACATGATTTTCTCCATAATATTACTCTACTATTAGCACAAAAGAACATTAGAATGTATCATACAAAACACATATTCAGTCACTCACTGTCCAAAGTTTGCACTACTCAAGCTATGCTTTCCTGCTTGCATATCAAACAAGAACTTTTTGGATTAGTTGCCAATGTCCATACACAAGTCTATATAATATCCTATGTTGAAGGAAGTGGAACACTATTTAACATCAGTCACATTTTATAAACCCATCAAATTATCTTTTCCCTCAGCCTGTCACCAGAAGTGGCAATTTATTATAATAGTAGATGGATTATGTGCATATTGACACTACTGGTATTCTAATATGATAATAATGTTTCTGCTAAATGAGCACTTACAATCATGCTCATTTGAAACTTGGGGAAATCCTTGCTGTCAGACACTGAGTATACCTTGGCATTTCTACAGCTCAACCATTCACCTGACACATCTAATGATCAGCTCTAAGAATCCTAATAAAGTATTCCGTCAGTATAACATTAAAAACTTTCAAGATTAAACAATTACAAAAAATCCATTAACTCTCTCATCATGGGCTTCGTCAATTTGACAGACCACATGACCTCTTTGTGCTCATTTAAAGTCTTTATAGTTTTGATATTACTAACTTTTAATTATAGTAAGTATATCTTCACAAAATTTTGCTGACATTTAGTAAACATTATAAGTCTTTCACATACAGAAAATCATTTTGTTTTGTGAAATATTTTAACAAACTAAAAAAAAATTTGTCAATATATCAAGTATTCTTTTTTACAAGTCCATTTTCAAAGTGATTCTCATGTTAAGATTAAAAATATTTTTCTTCATCTCAAAAATATCAAATTTCATTTGAGGAATCTCTAAAACCTCCTAAATACATTTCAAACATTTGTTTTCACTAAAAATTTATATTTTATCTGTTATTTTCTCTACCCTAACTCTATAAAAGGTTGGTCAATCTGACCAACTTAGTAACCTAAAAAAAAATTTAAATAAATCTAAATTACCTTTTTATTCTTTCTAGAATGACTTAAAATTGTAATATGAAACAACATTCGTTTATCCTAAGTAGCTCTAAGTTTGTAACAGTATACATCTATTTATACTTAAATTTTATTGTTTTATTGCCCTTTGAACCATGTCTAATTATTATTCGTGCCATTATAAGTTGTAAGTCACTTGGGGAACGTGGAGCTCACATTATGCTATCGAATTACATTACCCACGAGCTGTTCGTGTGCATGCCTCGTGAAATATTTTAATTATATTAATAATCTAACCTTAACTAACCAAAAGAGATCCCTATTTTTACATTTTAGTTACTTTTATAATAATAAATAAAGAATAAACATGACAAACAAGAAATAAAGAACTTACCCAGATCTTTTTTTACTGTTGAGTGTCAAAAACACTTAACCCTACTTTTTTTTTTATATTAATGGTAACAGTGCACTAAATGATTTTTATTTAATTAAATAATGCACCAAAGAACATTGCTCAAACAAACCATCATTTTTATAGTCTTCAATTTTGTTTGGCTACAGAGCCATCATATAGAAAATCAGACCCCTCTTGCCACACCTACCTGTCACATCCTCTCTTTCAAGATTTGTTAATAGTTCTCTCTTACATTTCATTAAATATTTCCTATAACCAACAGAAAGTCAAGGTTTTCATCTATCAAATGACGTATTGTATAACATTATGTTCTAAACAGTTAAATGTCAATTTCACTCAGAGTACCAAAATCATTTCCATGAGAAAGTTAACAACTAGCTTTGATGAATTTGTAATGACTCTTGTCGCATAGTTAGAAAGCCAGAAAAATTTTGA